TTTTCTAAGCTCATTAGAGCCATCACAGCAGCATATTAGACTCGATTCCTGCAGCCTTCACTAGGGTGGTAAATTGTGTCATAAGAGTGACACATGCTGACACATTTTCTCTTACAAAGCTTGTATTCAATCTCCCCTTCATGCTCCACCCTCCAAACGTACTCCTAGGCATTCTTTGCTGGTTATGGCTGTTCTCTTCCACTCTTGCATTACCATACTCAGCACTTCCAAACCATAGGAAGTATGTTGAGATTTAACCCTAATCATGGGTCTGCTGGTCAGGAGGGGAAGTGGAGACACATCCTGAGGAGGACAAGCACTATCTCCTAAGGCATCTGCACTGGAGTCCTTTACGTAATATTCAAACAAGTGATGAGGGGAGTATAACCACTTTTCCAATTGGTGAAACAAATATTTCTGGGGAACTAGAGAGTTCAGGAAAATCTGGGAGCTCAGTACTCCCTAGTTCATCTACTCACGTATCTCCTTCTTTGGTTTGAGGACCCAAATCCTTCCTTACAAGAGATTGTTTTTGACAGAGGAAACTTCACTGGGCTGATAATTTCAGCCCTTGAAATTCTGACACTCTCGTAATTAGGTCCTGGGCCTGGTCTTTCGCTGTGTCTGCCCACTGACTGCAGGAGGTAAATGTCCTCTTAAGTTCGGCCAAGGAGGCCCTTTGGCCTTCACACTTTGCTTTATGTATTGTTAATAGATTAATCAATTGGAATCTGTCATGCTATATTTTCAATGAATTAATGGGACTTAGTGACAACCATCGCTCTTGGGTTTACTAGATGTGAAAGTTGAGCACTTGCACGGTTACACCATTATAGGGACTGTCAGTCACCCACCTATGATGTGACAAGATCCTTACTGCCCTTTGGAGGGACAAGGGATCTCCCTCCAGAATACTTTTCCTTGAGTCGGCTTCCTAGCACCACTCACAACAGAACATTACAACGTTAACTCAGGTTTCCTAGAAGCAGGTGGAGGTAGAAGTTTTTACCAAGTGATTTGTCCAAGACTATTCAGAAGAGAAAAAAAAGAAAAGCAAAACAGTGCAGGAGAAAAAGCTAACCAAGATTTGGTGTTGTCCCACAGAGAGTTCTAGAGCATAAATTGTGTCACCAAGTTGGTCCCATCTGAAGCAAGGGGTCATCTTTTTTTGTAGTCATTTACTGGATGTTGAACCTTAGGGTGGAAATTATTATAAATTATATATTTTCCCAGGCAAGGAGAAAGATACAACCTAATGGTTGTACTTAGATACTAATGTATCTAAGACCCGCCAAAGCTAGGAAGTGGGTGCACCAGACTGATGAAATGGATCAGGCTTGGATGTTAACGGTATGTATTATAGTGAGACTTAAAAGTCAAGATCAGTGAGCAAGCACAGAAGTTTGTCTGGAGAATATGTTGGATTTGCAGTAGATTTATATAAAGGAAAAGAGATGTTTCTTCTTTTTTGCTTTTCTCTTTTATGGGACCAGAGTGAGGAGCGTTTTGTACAAAGAGAAGAAAAGCTTTTATTTTTGCATCACTTTCTTCTCTGTAAGCATGCCATGGGTGAAGGAGGGGTGTTCTTGCACCCATTAAGGACTGTTTTTTTGTTTGCTATAGTCTTGTGGGACTTGTAGATGCAGGCTCCTTTGGCTTTAAGAGCCATTTGTTTCCGATGCTTGCCCCTCCTGTAGAAATATTGGGAAACTAGAAGTGCAATTGAAACTCTCCATTCCTTAGGGAGAAGTTAAGAACTGGGTGTTCCCCCTCTACTGTGCGGTGCTTTGCCGGGGATGGAATTTATGGTGACAGGTTGTCTCAGCCTGTCCTATAGGCATTTGCTCACTAATCTGATGTATAGGAATCTCTCAGCTAGTTTCTGGATTTCTCTCAGAGGCAATTGCTCCAAGTACCGTGGTATGTTTGGTGCATCCATGTGAGGAAGAAAATTTAGGATCTTCCAAAGTCATTATCTCAGTCTCTCCTTCCTCTCTATAATCTTTTGTAATAGATCCTGAGCTTTGCTCTATTTTTAGGATTTTTATCTATATTCATAAAACACATTAGTCTATTGTTTTCTTGTGAGATCCTTGTCTGGTTTTGGTATTAGCAACTATAGAATTTTTATTTTCAGTTGTTTTATTTCCTTTGGAGAATTTCATTTAAATTATATATAAATTTTATTTGTATTCCAGTTCTCTGGTAATATTTATCATTTTATAATATATGTTTCTAAGTACATCATACATTTTAAATTCTGTATTTGTTAATGACAATCTCTGGATCATCTCAGTGTCTGTGTTTTTCAGAAAATTTTAAATGAATACCAGACACTTTGCATAAAAACACTGCAGATACACTGATTGCTACCTTCTTCAGAGAGCATTTTCTTTAACTGCTGATTAGCAGTTACGAGTGGATGAATCCAAGTAGAGATAGCAAATTAGACAGCGACTTTCAGGAAGTGTTTGTAAAGCCTGGCTTATTTGGGTGACAATCCCAGGTATAGAAGCTGTAGTTTGTAGTGCTACAAAAGAAAACCTTCTCTTGTACCCTTATCTCAGATTTGCATTTCCTTAGCACCTTGAGACTTCTCAGCTTCAAACTTCCTGCCTAGCTACTCAACCTCTCAGTTTATCTTGTGTCAGTAAAGGGCTGAAGATGGAAAGAAGCTCAGGTTTTCTGAAATCTCTGATCTCCATTTCTATCCAGTTTCTTGAGCTCTCAAATCCTGAATCATGGATAAGCCTGAATTCCAATTTTGTCTTCCTTGACTTAACGAGACTGCTACAAGCTCTGATCAGCTTTGACTCTCAATAGCTATTTTCTGCTCAAATTGTCAGCCCTCAACTACATGGCTGTGCCTCAGCAAAAGCCTGGATGATGAAAGCAGAATGTGATGTCACCAAAACTTCAATGAGTTTAGCTTCTTTTGGAATTTTGGCCTTGGTAGGATTTATTTTAAAAATTCTACATAACATTTTTCATTTGTACTTAGTCAATGGATAGATCACACAGATTTGAAATGGTATTTGTGATGGCTGAAGTAATTAAATATAAAGAGAGTAGTTTTGAAAACGTGGTTGAGGTCGTTGGAATGCACAGACAAGGCAGAAATTATACTGTTGAAGATGGAAATATTCCTCTCCCAATTTAACACACCGCAAAAACCAAAGAAGAAATAAATTTTAGTTATTATGTATAAACATAAACCTTTCAAAACATATGCAATTTTTAAATTACAATTTCTGAAAACTGAAGGGACAAATAAAGTTGGGAGGTGAGAATCATCTACAAATTATTTTATTTGTTTTAAAATTAAAATACTGTGTATCTTCATGAAATACTAGTTCACCAAACAGGAACAACTTTGCTTTTCCTATGATTAAGATCCTATTCCAAATTGTAGAGGTTTTTCAGGAACCACCAATCTCATGATACTGCATTAAAGTCATCATGTATGCGAAGCCTGATACATTTGACCGTGTGAACAACTGAGGACGACAGAGCTTCCTCCTTTGGAATCTAGAGATGATGCATGTTTTGCAGTCCTCCAGGTGCCTGCCCTCGGTGAAACATTTGACTAAACAGACAAACAAGCCAGGAAGAAAGACCAAGGTAGGCATATTTTTAGGAGTATTACATTAATCGTAACTAATAAAATCGGGGATTTTTTTGTTGTAATATGTTGAATGAGTCTTGGTATACTTCTTCCAATTAAGCCAAGGGTTTCTTCCCTCAATTCCATGTAACCTCATGATTTTGTCAAATCCACATAACTCTGCATGGGCAATTCTGTTCAATTCGCAGTATAACTTTTCTTCACCTTTATATATTTTCCCCTTAGATAGG